CAAGAACAAGATTTTACATCCTAACACGTGCAGGAAGCTAATAAAGACAGTTTCCAGGTCTGCAAGCACTTAAAAATATTTTACTTCATACAGGAGAATAATCTCAGGCATAGGTTTTTGCTACTTGTGGAGATATAACAGGAGTACCATTTCATTATGCCTTTAGACTTTAATAGATAATTTGTTAAAGAAATGAGCACATTTATGTTGACTTTCTAAAAATGAAGCAATGCAATTAAAATAACAGGAGATACAGAAAATGGTTCTAGTACTGTATTTAATAAGCCTTGCTAGTGCTGGATGAATCAGTCAGTTTGGACCTGATCTTGTCAGAGGTCTGTCWAACTGGCTATTTTCCTAGTAAATGCACAAGTAAGTTTTTTTTTATTCTGCCATTATGAGACTTCATTGGAACTTAATTTGCTAATTTGATGTGGGGTCTGATGGCTTCTTCCAGCTCCTTTCTAATTCATTTGTAACTCCACATTTTTAATAGTGGGACAAGGATTTTACTTCCCTTTGAGTCAAATTCTCCTTTTAAGTCAGAACTAAGTGTTGGCATTTTGCATAGACGTTTATCTTCCAAGAACACAAGAATTACCCAGTCATTGCACATCAGATTCTGTTAAAATTAGAGTTTGGCATGTGTGAAGGGAGAGAAAAAAAACCATTGAGAGTGTGACTTTGTTTTAGGTGAGATGGGGGAAGGGGGAGCAGAAACTTATTAAGCACAACATTCTTGGCATTCCAAGAATTGGTAAAAATGGGTTACCAGTCTGCTCTGCAGCAAGTGCAGTCAGACCAAGGTGGAAATATAATAGGTAGCTAGACTTTATTTTATTTACAGCAATAAAATACTAAGCACTATTTTAATAACATTAAATGACAGAGYCCATGTATGTATTGTACATACAATTTGAGTAGTCTAGACAGACTGTTTTCCAAGGAAAATACATTTTCATCAGTATTTGTGGTATGATTCATGGTGGTGAAGAGGCAAATAACTCTTTATGACTGGAAGTTGCTTTAACTTGCAGCCGCAAGGAAACAAGTCAATGACTGGATGATAGTGGTGGAAACTCACATTTTATAGCAATAGAGGTCTACACCTTATGCTGAGTTGGGGGTTTTATTCATCCAGGACTGGCAATCTGTCACAAAATATCCTGCCATTGTTTACAAACAGCCAGAGCTGCTCTCTCTGRCAGCTCACAGCTCACAGTTTAGATCAGCAAAGCTGCAGGTGACTCCAAAAGCACAGGAGCCTGGGATGTGCTCCCAGGATTGTTAGGTTTTGTGGCTGCCCCAGTGCAGAGGGGGCACAGCTCTGCCTTTCCTGCATKTCAATGGTCAGAGCATTTAGAGAAATGCAGTTTGTAAGGTTTGTGTTTGCAGTCTGACAAGTGATGCTGTACAGCTTCGTGTGTGCTTTGGTTGGATCTGTTTTATATCTGTTTGTTTCATAACTCCAATAAAGGCAGAGGATTGGACTTAGAACTATCACAGTGTTGTCTGCCAAATAAAAACAATGGAAATCTCTTTAAACTGTTTTAAGCCTCTACAGTTGCTGTGAAGATTTTTCAAAGTGATCTCTGAATGCGTTTGTGGGCTCCTGTTCTAACCTTGCAGAACAGGAGGAAACAAGGTATTKAATTTTGAAATCCTAGTGCTTGAAGTCTTTGTCCTAAGAACGTCAGAAATTAAAACTTTTGTCCAATACACAATGTGATTCTGCAAATGGCACTGTGTAAAATGAKGYATTSCAGAACCATCTGGACACAATCCTGTGCCCTGTGCTCTTGGATGGCCCTGCTGGGGCAGGGAGGTGGCACCAGATGAGCCCCTGTGGTCCTTTAGACCATATAAACTAATAGTTCAATGATACAATATTTAAATATTGTTAAATATAATAATTAAATGAAAAGCATGTGCTAGAGCCTGGCTCAGTTCTGTGATAAGGGACAAAGGGAGCAGCAGAACTGCTGGAGTGCATTTAAACCATACAGGATCATCAAATATCAGCTGCCTCTCCTTTGTCATGAGTGGCCTTGAGTGACTAAATATTCATTTTATGTGTAGACAAATATTTAGGTACCACAATTCATTATTTAAGTCAATGTTTCCACTTGTACCGTTTGCCTGTTGTATAAACTGGTTATTTTTGTAGAACCTAGAAAATCTCCTTAAACCATTGCAGACTGGTTGTGAAAGCCACAGGTAATCTGTGTGTTTGCTAAAGAGCASCAGCTTTTACAGGAACTGGTGGAATCTCGGTGAGGGGAAATCTCTTCAGCTTCAGGGTGATCTGTGGATCACAAGTTACATCTTAGAAGATGCAATTTCACCGTGGTTGACCATCAGGTTAAAAATAGTCCTCTTGACCACACACAGAGTAAGGTTTTCTTAAAGTAATATTTAGCCATCCCAGTAGCTACAGAGTTATTTAAGACAATTGTTAATAGCTTTGTGAAGGTCTGTGTACAGGGGATAAGTGGAATTACCCTTTTTTTTCCTCTTTTTTTTTTTTTTTTTCCTTTTCCCCTCCCCCTTTTCAGCATTGAGTGGATGTCAAAATCCATCTTCCTCAGCATCTACATTTTCTTGCTTTTGCTGGAAAGGCCACAGAARGAATTTGCCTCAAATAATGCCAGGGGAAGTTCAGATTAGATGTCAGGGAAAATTTCTTCATGGAAATGGTGGTCAGGCATTGAAATGGGCTGCCCAAGGAGGCAGTGGAGTCACCATCCCTGGAAGTGTTCACSAAAGGTGTGGATGTGGTACTTGAGAACGTGGTTTAGTGGTAAATGTGATGGTCYAGGGTTGACAGTTGGACTTWATGATCTTATAGKTCTTTTCCAAGCTTAWTAATTGTARGRTTCTGTGATTTTATGATGAAGAAATTCTTACAGAGGAGAAAAGCGATGGCAGTATTGATACGGATTTCCAAGAATACTTCAATTATATTTTGCAGCATTCAAATCCAATAGAGGTAAAACAAAAAAAAAAGAAAAACATTTCTTTTTGAATTGAATGCTAAGGAAAGACTTCCATGGTTGGAAATGCAATATTTCCCTTTTATTGCAGCATTTGYATATTTTAATGTGTGCATAACCTTGCTGTGAATTACAGCTTTAGTTGGATTTTTGTGGAGTTTGTTYTTTAAAGCAGAAATAGCTCAGTGTAGATTTGCAATGCTTGTATCAAAATTCACTGTAGCTTGGTGCTAGGCTAGTACATTTTATCTGGAGTCATATTTGGAGTGAAGCACTCTATGAGACATTTGTGAATTCCCAGACCACCACCATCTCCAGGGTTCTGGGGGAAATGTTTGTGTTTTTTTAAACGCAGCTATACAGATGCTGCTGTGATGTTGTTCAGAGAACATGCTGGGATGAAGAAGATTTTAAAGAAAAATCTTAACTCTTACTGATTAAGAACAAGCACTTAGTGATGAGGCTTCTTTTTCCATGGGTGCATCCACAGAAGTGCCACCTTTTCCTGTATCCTTGTTTGTTCAGGACATCACTGGACAAGGGCAGTGTTGGTTGCCTTCACAAATGTTGAGAGTCCATTGTGTTTTTAGTGGAGAATTCATAACTATTACTGTACTGCAAGCCTGTTTGTGCCGTTTCCTCTTTGTTCCAGTAAGAATGCTAACTTTAAAATATCTTAAACTTTTTTCCTTGGTCTGTAGAACTTTTGCACAGGCTTATCTCTTACAACCAAGGGGTAATTGATAGCTGGAAATAGTCAAGCAAATTTCAGGGCAAGTTTGGAATATGGTCAACCAACCTTTGTCTATTTGGGAGACCTTTCTTCTTGCTGTATGGGTATGGAATTCACTAAGGGAATCATACCCTGCTCATGGGATTTACTGCCTTGTAATTTTTTTCTATCAGGGAAGTATTTCCATAAAATTTTCATGCTTGCTGTCCTTCAGAAATCCTCATGCAGCAGGATGGGAACCAGATGGGTGGGAGAAGGGGAAACAAATGAGCAGAAAATAATGAACCAGTGCAGATGTGCAGGGAGAGAGAGAGCAGACATCTTCAGAACTAGAGGAGAATATGATTCAAGATGCTTTATGGGGAATGCATACATACTTTGGGATTATATTATATATATGGCAAAAAGAAGTTMCTTTTCCCTCAGCCCAGGTGACTGCCTTTCAGACTTGCTTTCTTCTGATTCCTGAGAGGAAATATGCCCAGACCTGTGTAGGAAATCCAGCTGCCAGCTGGCACAGCACCTTTCCAAGAGAGCTAATTTTAGATTTTCAGAACCTGGCAATTCTTAGCCACCTCCGTGTRTAGTAGGCTGCTGTTTGTATTATCTGAATTTTTCATTTAATTTCAAGTTTCTTTGCCAACTTATTAATAATGACCAGGCTGTCAATAAGGACAAAAAAAGTGTTTTAATTTTGTGAAGCYTTTGGGTTCATGCTCTCATTTTTTATAAATTTGCACCTTTTGGCTGCTCTAGAATATTAATGTGTGTAGTGAAATACCATCTTCTGATATTTTAAATCTGTGTTGAGAGGAGGCTGAAATAAATMCTTTGGAGTAAGAGCAGAAATCAGCCACATTAAATTCAGTGTTAAAAATGAAGGCAGAGCTACTTGGAGAGCTGACTTTCATTTTTCTGGGATAGAAATTAGAAGGTATTGAGCACATCATAATGCTCTATGATGATTTGTCCAGCTAACCAGAATGTACTGTGAGGACCAAGGAACTGTCACTTAATTCTTACAATCAGGAGCCAGCATCTAATGCTCAGACAAKTCTTGGGAGCAATTTTAAAAGACTTTGTGAAATTATTTGCATTGGAAGAGAAAACACAAATATTTGCAGTACGGTACAGTAGCAGTGAAATTCTGCATCTAAAGCTTCACAGAGATGGATTCTGCAGTGTGTATCTGGAATGTTGAAATATGTAATTTATGTGAATTATATTAGTGTTGCCTCGAATCCTTGTTAATGTATTTTCTGGATTTCTTTCAGCTCTTCGTTGCAGTCTCCAGTTTCTTGGAAACGTTGCAGCAGGAAATGGAGATTCCCAGAATAGCATTTGGAAGTGTGCTTTCCCAGATCTCTTCTTGTGAGCATGGATGCTGGTGTTTTTTCTAGTGTCATTTCTGTGGTTGTATTCAAATCTTTTATACATGATATTTGTGCCTTTGCTAACACCRTAAAACTCTAAAAAATAACTTTGGTGAGAATGGGCTGGTTGAGACATCCTGTAGATGTTTTTTGTTAGTCAGCAGCAGGGGAGAACTTTTAAAAACCTGCTTGCTCTAAACTAACAGTAAATTGAATTAATTTAACAGAAACTGCAAAATAAACTGCAAAATAAAAATAGTTAAGAAAACTATTTCAAATGATGAGCTTCAAACATCAACTGTATTTCAGATGTGTTTTCAAGTTGTTACACTCGTTTCCAAGACCACAGCATTTTCCTTTTTTCATGTTGCTGCTGTGGAGATCTGTGAATATTGGTGAATCTCATGGAATCTACAAAAGTTCCTTAATCATTGTGTCTTTCAGTCTTTCTGTCCCCCTCCTAACCTCCCCAGAATATCTTCCTGGGGATTTGATGACATATATATAAGGAAATATTCCATAAACTATTTTTTACARACACAGGACAATATTCTGGATGTGTTTGGCCAGATTTTTCATAGTGAGCTGGTAACAAAGGCACTTTGATTCAATTTGCTAATCATTCTCAGTGRGTTTTTGGAGCCCTCTTGTCTGTAGGAAGATTTTACAATAAGAAAAGCAGTTTCAATTAAGAATTAATTTTGTAAACTTCCTGTGAAGTTTGACCTTCAGCTGGGAGTTGGGTATTCTTCCYTGCAAGTGAGTTTTATCCCTCTTAGGCAGTGATAAACTCATGGTTCTCTAAAAGACAGGAAAGCCTAGCTCAGCAAGCTCAGTGCCCCCAGCCTGTTTTTCCAGGGTCACTTTTAACCTTCCCTTAACTTTTATTTTCTCCTGAAGGACATGCCTGGCATACAGCGATGAGAAAATTGTCACCTATTGCTGCATGGTCCTGTTCACCTGCCTGAATTCAGAGAGAGTGAGAGAACTGCTGGATCCTGGGAACTTAACTGTGGCTCTTCACATCCTCAGAGTTTACAAACAGCAGTTGGAGTCTGAGTGGTCGTRTGTATCTTTATATTTTCTTCTTTCTCATATTTTGATTATGTGTTTTTCCAGTGTAAATCACTGCAACAAAACATCCATTTGTGACACTGCAAAATAGTAAATGAAGATCTAATTAAAATTAGTAATTTAGTATAATTTTCATGATCATATCAATTACTCTTGATTGTTGCTGAAATAAGACTAGTTTGTTGAGGACATAGGAATTTTCTAATTATGGTGGTTTKTTTTTTTTTTTTTAGTGAAACAGGGTTTTAGAATGCAGACTAATTTATACTTGTGTGCTGGTTTGTGGAGATTTTTTAAAGTTAGCAGCCTCAGAAATGCTTCTGTACTCAGAAATCTGTGGAGCTGGAGAATGTAATACACACATTTAATAAATATTCTAATGATTTAAGAAGTGATGCTTCCTTCTCTTTCAGAAGCTTGATCCTTTCAACAGCTCCAGGATTATTTGCATGTTGCTACCTTTGCCATTTTTAATACTAGATGTTGGATGGCATATTAAAATAATATTAATTAACATATATTAGACAATGTGTTTTTAAATTGCCTCTAAACTTCTAGTCAGTACAGCTCCTGAACTTGTTTCAGGCTAGCAGTCCTGTAATGTTGAATACTGAGAGCTCATCTGAGACTGCTGCTTCTGGTCTGACTCTCAAGAGCAATGATCTGAGAAGGCAGATGAGGTAAATAAAATTAAAATATATTTATTGCCAGCTGAGATAAATAAAATTAAAAATATTTGTCTGACTGGCTGGTACTCCTTTGTGGCTGGGCTTGTGGAGAGTGCCCAGAGCTTGCTGCTTTGGAAAGCTGCAAGGTGTAAGATGTTATGGAATGTACTTCAAAGAGTGAGTCTTTGCAAAGACACTGGCTGTGCAGAAACAAGTTTGCTTCCTTTCCTGGATCTGATTTCTGGCATTCCCTAATTAACTGATTCTTTCTCCTCAATGGTTCTTTGCTGTGCAGTTGTGTCTTTTAGAAAACGTGCTGCTCTTTGCTCAAGAATGAATGCCCCCTGACCATGGTGGAAAACGTGCTGCTGCAGCCTGGTGCATCAGAGACCATTTCCATCCCACTTTTAGTCCTGAAATTTTGTTCTTTAATGTGGGTTTCCCCTTTCAGGGACAGGTTGGTTCTAGTTGCTCTGATCATGATGATGGTTGTGGATTAGCATTCCCTCTGAAATGCTTTCTTGCTCATAGAAAGTCTTTGAACCTCTCAGTTCAGTTCAGTTGTTTCCACCTTCTTGTGATCTTTTATTTCCCTTTTCTGTTCCCAAACAGAAGCAGATCTGTCTCCTAAACTGTGACTGGTTTTTCTGCATCTTTTGACTCTTCCTCCCTCCCTCTCTTCCATCTTATGTTTCTATTCAAAGGGTTGAGCATGGTTTTCAAGCCCTTGTGTGACAGTAATTTATTTTCTGTGTATCTTCTGTCTTTCTGAAGTGTCTCTAATGACACATGAATTGAGTTCTGAACTGTTGATGTACTGAGGGTCGAGCAACAGCCACATTAAAGGATGCTGGATGTTGAAGACAGACCCCMAAAACAACATAAGCACTTCCAATAAGGGGTGTGACTGTGTCAAATAAAGTCAAGGGAGTGGAGATAGCTCAGAATATTTAATCAGTGTGTATGGTAAAAATTCTGTTCACCTGACACTCAGGGCACTCAGTTGGAGGRAGGATCCCTCAAGGTGCCCAGTGCCATAAAGAATATCTGCTTTCTGTACTCAAACTGTTAGAAAGTTTCTATCCAGCCAATTTTTGCACTATCCCAGGTTGCTCCAAGCTCTGTCCAGCCCTGCCTTGAACACTTCCAGGGYTGGAGCATCCACAGTTTCTTTGGTCCTCCCCACCCTCACAGGGAGGAATTTCTCCCCAATATTGAATYTAAACCTACTCTCTGTCAGTTTGCATCTGTTCCCCCATGCCTTATCACTATAGTTCCTGATGAAAAGTGCCTCTCCAGCTTCTCTAGTCCTTTCAGATACTGGAAAGTGCTGTGAGGTCTCCACTGAACCTTCTCTTCTCCAGGCTGAACAGCCCCAACTCTGTCATCCTGTCTCACTGGGGCAGTGCTAAAGTGCTCCAGTTCCCTTTTCACCTTTGTGGCTCTTCTGGACTTGTCCCAACAGTTTAAATGTATTAATGTTTAAATATCTTAACACACGAGCAAAACTGCTCCGTAAGTTGATTCTTGTTTTCTGGTGCTGCTGGCTTTCAACAATGGCTTCCTACCAAAAGATGCTCTCAGGAATTGGATGCATCCATTCTTTGGGAAAAAAAGCTGGAATGTCACTGACTATAACTGTTCAATAAGATATTTATTTTCTACTCTCTTTCTATGTGATTAGTACCCGAAGAGCCCTTTGTAACAAACTCCCAAGCTGTTCCAAATAAATACTCAACTTTATTTTTTTCAGTAACAGCTTTTCCTTAACACATACAGAGAATCTTTGGCTCTGAAAAGTTATAGAGCCTTTCAAAAGTGGTTTCTTTGTGTTTCCATGTACATCCACATGCAGTCCTTCTTGGGTTTGTATTAATCAGTAGCAGCTTTTACACAGTTGAGAAGGGACAGTATTTAGCAGAGAAACCAGCAGAGAATGCCACGTGAAATCTGTTTTAGAATATCAAACCTGGAAGGATATGTGTTTTGTAAGATAATTAGGAAGAAGTAGCACAAAATTACATTATAATTTATCCTAACCAAGATCAGTGTGTGTTCTAAAAGCTGTTTATTTTAGAAATACTTTGGTGGCTCCATTGGATATGAGTATGGCTTGTGTCATCAGTTTTTCCAAGTGTGTGAATGGGGCAGTTCAGCTAATATGGAAAGGAAAAACAGATTGTATTTTTGATTCCTGAAGAGCAAAGATCCTCCATTTTAAAATAAGAGACATAATGTGCCTTTTGGCTTTTAGAAAAAATGATATTAGGAGTGTGGTCAGCTATTTGGCATTGAAGTAAGTTTTGCTGAASATCCACTTTCTCTTTTTGAAACCACAGCTCAATGATGACTGTAAAGATTAGGATGTGGGGYTACCCCTCCCCATTTTTTTTGCCTTTGGTTGTTTTGTCCTGGCTTATGGAAAGATGTGTGGACAGAAACTGGTACYCCTGTGTCAAAGAGTCTCACCTATGGGCACAGATCTAAAGTYAAGGATAAAACTCTTCATTACAACTCTTTTTACTTAATTGGTGTGTGTGTGATGGAGAATTTTTTTTTTTTTCATTGTACTGGCAACTCTGTTTCTTCTRTCACATAGTTCAGAACATCTTCCCCTCCACTTCTTCTCTCCAGAAAGTAATTATTTCTTTTAATTCCAGGAAAGTTGGAGTTATGTTGCAGGTTCCAAGTTCAGCTGTGGTTTTAAATAGTACTGACAATTGGAAATGTTTCCTTAATATTAGAGATCTGAGTAGTTTCTATTTTCTATTTGCAGTAGCAGTGAATTGGCACAGATTCCCTCAGTCTTTCAAAACCCAGCCTCATGCAATTAATTATCTTGTCACCTTTTTTTTTTCTTGTATATATTATGGAGAGGGAGGAGCAGGAAGTGCTATTAGCTGTTGCTAATCATCTTCCATTTTTTTCTTGGTAGTTCTTCAGAAAGGAATTATTTCAATTTTACATGTAAAATTAGATTTAATCTCTTCTTAGTGCCTTTCAGATGTAGCTGTCAAATTGATTTGGAGTGTCTTCTGAATCAAATAAATATTGTATTCCTCCTTTTGAGCAGGAAATGCTGGTGTTGGAATGGGGTGAATTACTAATTTCTAGAGATTTTGTGACAGCACAATTTGTTATTGAATAGCTTTATACTGGTAATTGCTTATTTTAATGGTTTTGGTGGGGTGCTTCTATTCTTGTGCAAGGATGAAATATACTTCTGCTTCTAAAAGGTGTTCTGATTTCTAACAATTCCCTATGAAGCATATAACTTTTTTAGCAACCTAAAAAGGCTGGTGATGAGAGTTTGAAATTTGGCTGAAAGTAGCTGATTTTTCTTCTTTACTTTCCTTCAGAATGTGGAAGATTTATTACTTTCTTTTTATTAAATTACAATAAAAAGATAGCTRTTTAGTTCTAACTAAATATTTTGGATAGAGTGGCATTACTGTAGGATGAGGAAAAATGCTTTTGGTTTTGAGATCAAAAAAGAATAGGGAATTGCCATGTCTTGTTCTTCATACTTGGAAAACATATGTGGGGTTTTCTTCCTCGTTTTCTGGGACTGAGGAGCCTGTTCTCTAAATTTGCTAATGGGATAAAATCAGCTTAGTGTGGAGCATGTCATTTGATGATAAAGTTGATTGGAGCTTTGATTGGGGCAAGCTTAGTGGCCATTTGGAATATCCTGAATTCAAATGTAGCTCACCCCACTTTGTCTTGGCTGCTTTAGAGCTTCACTTCAGTACAATACAACCCTTGTGCTGTTGCAGAGTTTTTGATCATCTCCTCCTGTATTTATCTACTATGGAAGCGCTTGATTTTTTTAGGATTTTAGCCAAACAGTTTTTAAAGAGTTGAGAAAATTGGCATATTTAACACTGTTCATTTGTTACTGTGTTACACTTGCATAACAGCTTTAATTTTCACCATTTCCTTTACTAAATTACAGTGGTCTTTGGTTTATTCCAGTGGTTCTGCTGTTGGCCCCCTAAGAGAGTTTAAGTCTCCTACCAGAGCTTTTTGTGTGCATTTGAAATGCCATGTTCTGTCAGTAACCCAAAACTCAATGTCTTATTTCAGAGTTGTGGATGGTCTTACTTTTCCTCTTCTTTTCTTGTGCCCCAAATTAAAACCAGGATAGCTGACAGGGCTAAAGATAATAAATTAAATTTGCTGTATCCTTGCTTAGCTACCTCCAAAATTTCTGGGCTGTCTGGTGAAGGAGTTGCAAGTTCTTTATTTCAGTACTAATTCTTGTGTTATCTCTTGGTGATGATGCTCATGCTCTGTTCTTCATGATCCACTAGTGCAGAAAGTGGATAAAAAGAACACTTAAAAAAGAGAAGCAGAAGAGTTACAGGGCAGGCAGAGCTTTTTTTTTTTTCCTGAGGTGTTGCCTCACATCATGAAACCAGAAAGTAAGAATCACAACTTTTAGTCTGAAATACTCCAAGTTCTTCAAACAATAGATGTCTAGTCCACAGAATGTACAAAATGTGTGTGAAGAAGTACAGGAGCAAAGAAAGTACATAAAGCAAAGAAACAGCTAAACTACAGACCTAGCACTTTGCAAAAGTGATCAGGAACATGAACCTGGTAGCAGCAGATGTTTTTTTGTGATAAATATTGATCACTTTTTAGTTGCAAGACAAATAGTTAAGAAAGTTTCCTCAAAGTAATCTTAAACGTGGGAGTTAAGCTTTGAATTCATAGCCTCAATTGTAAAAAATGGGAAAATTGGGCTTCAGGCTGTCTCCTTAAATGCACTTTCACTCTGCTGCATTGTCAGCTGAAATTTGTGCGTTATGAGGCCAAGTTCTGTGTTCTGCACTGCACTGATCCATGCTATTTTCTTTCACAGCTCCACACAAAAGGCTGTGGTTCTGTTTTAAATCTGTGAAAAATGAAGTCAGTTGTGACCATTCTGAGGATTTAACTGGGAGTTGTTGGCTCAGGAACTGTGGAAGTTTTGCCCTTGACTGCCCTGCTCATGGCTCAAATTGGGTTTTATGGGACAGTCTGTGCAGCTCAGTTGGATAAATTTGTGATTTTTGAAATTTGTGTTGAAAGWCTCTTGGATCAATTCTGCACCCCTCAGCATGCCAATTTTAAATTGATGATTCCCTACACCTCTGCTGATCTTTTTCATGAATGAATATACAAATATCAGTAAAAGTAAGTGCAGCATGAAATAGTTTTTCTCCCTCACCCTCTTAAAAATGTTTTCAGTAACTGAACCAGATGCTGGCTGAGTTCACAGTTACCATTAGAAATGTAATAACCATTAATATTTTGATCCTCTTGTTTTCCTATTTGCCCAACTGTCTCTGAGTACTTGTCAAAAAAATACTTTGTTTCAGCTGGAAGGCTTCTTAGTGATCTTTTTATTAGCTATGTAATATGTTATGGCTACACAAAAATAAAGAGAAAAATGGGGAGGAGGTGAAAGGAATATTGAAATCACTTGGTTTTAATATTATTTTAGCTGTTCTTTCTCTGTAGCTTCATCAGCTCAGAGGATACTCTGAGACTTGACTTGTAATTATTGAAGCCTAGACATGCTGCTTAAAAAAATGCATTGTTTAGTTTGTGTGTACCTGTGCAGCATAAATAGCACTGCCAGTGCTCCTAGGGATGTGTTTTGAGACATAAATACTTTAATCTACTTTTTTTTTCCCATAATGCTGAGAGTATGAGTCTGGGTTGAAATTAAATGTCTGTCACTTTGGTAAGAAGAGAAAGGGGGAACCAGTGGCTCATTTTTCTGGTCATTTTTTGATTGTTTTGTATTCTAGACAGAAACCCCAAATATGGTGAATGAGAAAGGGAAGGCACAAAGAACAAAGCTTGATAATTTATTACAGTGAAGAATGTACTTCACTGTATTTTGAGTGGCAAGATCCTTGTGTTAAAGTTGGGGTGTCTTATTCAGATCTGGGAATTTAACTCAGTGATTCTCATGGGTCTCTTCCACCTCGTGAGACTCTGTGATTCTACATCTACCTGCCCTGTAGAGCAAGGACTTAGAATTGGTTCTCAGCTTAGGTCTCTGTTACACAAAGAGGGTATTTTTTCAAAGTTGAGAAAAGTATTTTGCTGCCTTGCATCTGACAAAGAAGTTTCCATTTGCTTTGATGCCCTGATAGATTGCCTTTAATAAATTATTTGGGCACTTTTTTGATTGTTTGGGCTTACGAATGGTATTGTGATGAATAGAATAATAATTTCCAAGCTTAAACTTTGTCTTTTTGCTGAGATGCAGAAACCATTGGATGAGTATTTTATTGTTTGAATTGTGGTGTATATAACTGGCCAAAGACTCCAGCCAGCTTCCTTCAAGCATGTGAGTAAAAGTGTGCAGAAATGATGGGAAGTGTCATCGTTGAGTTAGGAAAAACACTGCAGAACAATGTGCAATTATTTTGTGACAATTTGTATCTATCAGTGAATAGGACCATGTTCATCTGCAAGTAAAAGTAACCATCACCATTTGGAATAAATGTAGATATTGCTTTTACAGCACCAGTAAAACTTGCCTTGTTTTTTCCTTTAGGTTCCTGATTGTGACAGAACATTTGCTGAAATGTCCAGAACTGGTAAAAGCCCTCTATGCCAAACTGAGCAATCAAGAAAGGTAACCCCAAAAACCAACGTGGCTTTTTGTATTTAGCATTCCTTATAGAGTATCCTGTTCACATGATTGAAAAACCATGTGGTTTCATAGTTGGCACAAAATCTCTAAATACACGTTTCTATGTCAGTAATGGTTTTAAATTGGTCGGTTAACATTACAGCTCAGCCACAACTGGCAGTGATTTATGTAGGGTTGCAGAATCCAGGTTGGCGCCATTGCTTGGTAAAGAAATACTTCATACAAAAAAAAAAGGACAGGATTTCATGCCTGGGCCTTGATTTTATAAAAGAACCACACCCTACAGAGTTTTACAGCTCAATTGGAAACGTCCTCAGCTCTTCATACTTCTGCTGTTATGTCAAGAAATTAAGAGGAAACCTTTACAAAAGCTGGAAGTGTGTCTAATACTGGTCAGCAGAACCTACAAAACTGATGAGCAGATGCCCATGATTACTTAATCCTTAATGTTTCCAGTGTTTAACAGAAGGAGAACACTTCTTCTTTCACCTGGAAGAAACACTGATAGTTTCCTTGTAGTGTTTGAATAAATGTGTGCTGAATTGATGGGAAATGGCCACTGCTATAATGGAAAAATTCCCATTGCTTTAATAGAGAATTGAGGAAGATTTTAAAAAGATACTTTGTTAAGACAATCAAATTTTGGGAATTCTGCTAGAATTCTATGTCTCCTACAACTGCTTGAGGATTTTGTGGTCTTGTTTATGTGTTTAATGTGGCCACTTTGTTCTGCATCCACCCAGGGAAGTTGCAAGTTCCCTCTCTAGTTTTTGCAGGTGAATGACAAAACACTGCACAAAACAGTGCCTTAGTGTGATTTTAGTCTGTGTTTTGTAATTTTAGTCTGTGTTTTGTATTGTTTCCAGTGTTACCACAAGTGAGGGAACAGGCATTGATTGGAGATTATAAGAAAATTAAAGGGATGTCAGGCAAAGAAAGAATGTGCAATAGGTTTGAACTTTAGATAAAATACCATTATTGTATAGGGATGGAATGGGAATGACAAGGAGGGAAATACTGTTTTCCTCTGTAATTCAGAGTGACCAAATGGTCACAAATCTGAGCCATGTGCCTGCAGGTGGGTGCTGAGTAACTGCTTGAAGCAAATGAGCTGCACTGAATTCTTTTGGGGAATATCATGAATGGCAGTTTGCATATTTTTGTAATGCCTTTGGGGATAGCAGGGCTGGGTTAAGTTGTGTGTTTGTACTTAAAGCAGTAGATATAATCAGTTTCTAGAAAGGTCTCAGTATACTACAAATAGTGATTGGATTCCTCACATCGGTGATCACAGGTGGGATCAGAGCATGTCCACTGAATTTATTATCAATCCCAAAAGTTCTGCCAATCAAGTAAACTCCATTATGATTTTGGTACTGCTTAATTTACTGACAAACATGTGGAAGTGATGTAGAAATAGTCTATCCTGGCACTTACCTCATCCCATGAACCCTCCATGAAGTTTTCTCTCCCCTGTCCAGCTATTGGGGGCAGGGAAGGGAAGTGAGAGAGCAGCTTTGGTGGGTGCCTGGAATCTGTTCAGGGTCAACCCACTGCAGTGGGGGAATAATTCCTGTGTTCAAATCTCTGAATTGTTAGCTGAGCACATTCTTGAAAGACTCCAAACCTGGTGGATCCTAAGTGTAGGTTTTGTATGGGATGCCAAAAGGGAAAGCCTTTGGTCAGTGCAGGGTTCTGTGGAGCTGTTGGAGATGGGCAGAGTGTGACTGATAACCCACTGTAACCTGCACAGCAAACTGAGCAGAGCCCTGAGAGGCTGCTCCATCCTTCTGCCCTCACCCAAATGTGCCCAAAGTGCTGCCGTGCTGAAAAACCTTTTTGTCCTCCTTCAGATAATAGTTTAATGCAGCTGTATTAATGACACTGAGAGCTGGGACTGAGTAGCTGTTTTGTGATTAATAGAGGTGCGTTCTTGGAGGTTAAGAAAGCAGTGACCGAGCTTTTTCCACAGAAAAAAGACATTTCTCTTCCTCTTCTGACAACCTGCTTGGTAAATTTAAAAGAAAAAAGCATTTGAACTATTCCACATGTTTAAATGTCAGTCCTTCCATCTGAATTGCAAATATTTCAGTGAAAGAAATCCCTGGGCTGGCTTTTGAATTCATTCAGTAAATAGTGTCCTTTCAGGCTGAAAGAATGACAGTGGCACTTCCCCATCCCCTGTGCACTGGGCTGGAGCAGGAGGGGCTGCTCCAATATGAAAGGATATTGGAAATAAAATTATATTAAAGCTGTTGAAAAACCCAGCCCAAGTAGTTTTTATAGAGCAGCTTCATTATTTATCCACTTACTTGTCATTATTTATCCACTTACTTACTTACTTACTTACTTATCTGACTGAGTATGAGTGACTAACTTGGATTTGCTTAGTCCATCTCGTAGCAATTATAAAATTACTGTAAAGAACAGAGTGTGCAGATGGTTTTTTATTTTCACCATTTGGGGTTGTGGGGGAGAGTTAGTAAAGGACTGTGGGTAAGGCAAGGACTGTGAAAACCTGTATTTTTCAAACAGAAGCTGTCAAATACTCTTTGTTTATTTTGCAATGCTTGACAGCAGCTTTTAAGAGCTGCTTTGCTGGAAACTTTAGGCATGGGGAATATACAATCACCGTAATGTTTTCTTAGGACATAAGAAATTAGAAGATTGAAATAGGCTTGAGAAAAATATTGACTGTCTGGCTAGACTGTATTAATTGAATGGTGAATTAAATTAATTCTGTATTAAAAAAAAAAAGCAGCAGACAGAGACTGATTGCCAGTATTCATGAGGCTTGTTAATTTTTTTAAATCTTCTCTGTTGCTAGCATGATAATTGTTTTCATCATTTTTAACCACTGTATCTTCTTATTCTGCTGATAATGCTATGTGGCTCAGTGAATTTAACAAGTTGTTTTCTGCCTCCAGAGTTACTTTGTTAGAGCTGCTGATGGTGAAAGTCAATGACAAGAACTCAGTTAGCAGTGAGGAAATGGATGTGTTTGTTCAACACGCTGAGTTCCTTGCAGGCTGTTTCCAAGAGAATTGTGGAGCTGTGCTCAAGTTAACTGCTGCAGCAGATGCAGAAAATGAGGTAAGAGTGATTAAAAACCATGTAAGTACTAGGAATTGAAGTGATAAATCCTCAATGGCACTGTTGCTCCAGGGGGCATTCATAACATAAAATACATAACAATATCTTTTCCATTTTATTTTGGGAAAGCAGTGGCAGACTGCATTGTAGAGTCTGTAGGACAGCAGCTGACTTTTTCCTTTGATGGTGGCAAAAGATACTTGAAAATAAATCTACTTCATTGTTAAATATTTCAGAACTTTAAAAATGTTTTAATTGTCACATGTTTGGATGTTTTATTATCTTACTAAGGATCGCTTTGGTAATTTATTTGAGTTGTGAATTGTAATTTATTCAAATTTAGAGGGGCATGTAGTGACAGGACAAGGGGGGAATGGCTTCACATTGACAGAGTAGATGTGGATTTTAGATTTAGGAGGAAATTCTCCCCTGTGAGGGTGGGAGGCCCTGGCACAGGGTGCCCAGAGAAGCTGTGGCTGCCCCTGGATTCAGTTCAGGATATTTTGTGATTCTGTGATGATCCCATGATTCAAATATACATCAAAATAAAAATATTTATCCTGTTTATAAGTGGGAAGCAGTAATATATATATAGTCAGAATAATTTCATTGTTAATGCAAAATTAATGTGCAATAGTTTCACTTCTAGAAACTACAGAGAAGAAGCATCATAAATAATATATTACCAAGTAAAAAAACATTGATCTTAAATGCTTTCATATGAAAACATTATAAGGTGTTGTACTTGCTTGGGTCTTTTTTGTTTAAATAAGCCACACAAATTATAAACATATGTTGAGAGGTGTTATGAAAAAATACCATAAATCACTTTATGGTAGTTGGATGTGATAAAAAAGCCAAAACACAAACCAACAAGAACACAATCTCTTTTTGTATGTCCAAAAAACACAGCCTCCCCACTGCCCCAGCTGTTTATTCTAAGTTATGTTAGATAACTTAACTGTCTCCTTCTGGAAAAGGTTGGCAGAAAGAGGACATACATTGTGACAATTGCATCTTTTTTTTTTTTTTTTTTAATCATTTGGTTACTTCCCAAACCACTTTCTGTGGTTTCAGTTCATGGGAAAAACCATTTGTTTGCACCCAGCAGAA